GATATCACCATAGACCACTAGGATGGCTACAGATAAAAAGGCTGGCAATATTAAGTGCAGGCAAGATATGATAGAACTGTTAACTCATATATTGATAACAAGAATATAAATCAGAAGAGATATTTGGGAAATAGTTGATGTTACTAAACCCCAACTTGTGCATATTCTATGGCCCAGTCCTTCATCCTGGGGCTGTATCTAGTAGAAATACTGTAAAAATGTGCATACTAGGGTTTTCATGGCAGAATTAATCAAGAAAAAGCTCCCAAATGCTCATCAGTAATGGAAAGATAAAACACCGTAATGCTGTTTCTAAATAGATAGGCCACTCTAATACAAATTAATGAGCTAAAACTACACACCGACATACATTAATCTAATACACATATTATTGAGTAAAATAAACCATTTATGTAAAGTTCAGAAACAAACAAATATAGGGTTTTAAAAGGCAGTTCTGATGTTGGGGGAGGAGAAGGAATAAGGGAGAGATTTCTGTTCTGTTGGTAATATTAGGTTTTCACTCAGTTTGTGGTTAAAAAGTGTGCAGAAGTTTTTTGGTTTCTAGAATCAGTCTTGCCTGCATAGATAGTTATATTTAAAAAGAAGAGGAAGAAACTCTTCCTGTCTGGGAGGGTTATAGCAAAGTAGTTCTAAATTCAGATGATGATTTCACATGGCTAGCAACATCATTCAAGTTTTACTTTCTACATTATCAGTTAGTCTCTCAAAAAAAATCTCATTGATGGGAAGAGCTTCTCTCTACCGCAGAAGTTTTGTAGCAGAGGATGCATTGAGCACAATCCCAAAAAAGGTGACATGAAAATGTCTTCTAATAACAGGGCCTCTCTGGTGGCACAGGCAGCTAAGTGTAGCGCTGTGAAGCTGTCCGCAGCCTCTGCAGCATGGGTTCGATCCCTGCCAGCCAGGGAGATACCCACATGGCGCGGCAGACCTCTCCTATCTCTCCTGCTGCTCCCCTCAGCAGGGTATTTCAGTTGGTCTGCCTGTTCTGTTCCCCACTCTTTCACTGGTGAATCCTCTCACCCTCCCGCACATCTGGCCTGTACCCCAGTTCTTGTATACATAAATAAAATATCTTAAAAATAAAATAAAAAAGAAAATGTCTTTTAATAACAAAGAAAAGGGCCCACGTATTCATCCTTGCAATGCATTGAACTAGTCTAAGAAATAGAGTTTACTGGTTGAGATAAGGTTACATGAACTTTCCTGGTTATTGTAATAAAACTCTAATAAAGAGTTTTATCATTAACTAGACTATATCAGAACCTTTCAGAATTTACTGAGGCCCCCCCACATTCACCTGCTGTTGCACTGGACAAAAGTTCTCACAGTTTCAGTCCTGCTGTTATCAAATTGTTCTTAATGGCTTTTCAGGAAATACCTCCTGGTAATTTGGGGGGCATTTTTGGGTGCAATTCTTTCCTCTACTTTCTCCCCCCTTGCATGCTTTGTGGCAAATGTCGATTTCCCCTCATCTACTTGTATTTTGTGGTTCATGTCCCCCAGTGTTATGTTAAATGGAGTTTTGGTTTGGCATGCCGTTTCTGCTTCCATGTGAGGACTTCGGGAAATTCAAAACTCTGTTGCCACCAGTGCCATCTTCCTGAATCTCATCTCTATATTTTGAATTTTTGTTGCATCTTTTCATCACTTAACACTCTTTGCTCATTAACTGAAATACACTTTCAGTTTCTTTCTCACTCTCCCAATTTAGAAGGAAAGGTAATTTGTTTCCTTTCTACCACATTTAGGAGGCATTGCATCAGCATAGTTCATGCACAAGTAGTATTTTAGGAATATTTCAGATCTCATCAATAAATTCTCTCTCCTGGGGAGAGCCACTGCATATGGTCAACAAAGATGGAAAGATATAAATGGAAGGATATTTGGGATATATGTTGAGCATATTGTAAAGATCATAAGACAGGAAATTTATTTTTTTATTTAAATTTTTTTATTTGTATATATTTTACATCATTGTTCTTTTTTTTAAAAAAAGATTTATTTATTTATGCATACAAGAGCTGGGGCACAGGCCAGAGATGGGGGGTGGGTGTGAGAGGATCCACCAAAGACAGACTGGAGAACAGAACAGGCAGATGGACTGAAATATACTGCTGAGGGGGAGCAGCGGGCGAGTCAGGAGAGGTCTGCTGCGCCATGTGGGTTGCTCCCTGGCCGAGGATCGAACTCATGCTGCAGAAGCTGTGGATTGCTTCACAGTGTGGTGTTTAACCCCTTGCGCCACCAGGGAGGCCATCATTTTTCATTTTTAAACAATGTTTCCTCCCCCACTCAGGTATAGTCCCCATAGAATTTCCTTCACCAATGCACCCTGCACCATCACCACAGTCCCCTGTGCTCCTCCCTCCTCCCTCTGATCCCTCTCCCTCCTCCTCCCCTGCAGGATGTCTCTGGTTTATAATTGTCTGTTTTTGTTTTGTTTTGTTGTGTTTTGTACTGTTATTATTTTCCCCCGATGTCTTATTTGGTTCCCCTATATTCCTGCTATAAGTGAAACCATCCGATATTTTTCTTGTTCCTTCTGACTTATTTCTCTGAGCATAATAACACAGGAAATTTATTGTTGATGAGAATTTGGGTGGCTCTAGGTTTTAAATGCGTATTTATCCAGATACTTCCAGCCTTTACATCCATTTGATACAACAGAAGCAATATCCCTGCACATCAAGAGTATTGAAATCATTATAACCTATAGAACTGATGCACCTATCTGTAAAATGATGGAGAATTTCTTTAAGCACTTGAATCTGGTGTTGTCAGGAAATAAGATTTTACATAAAACAAATTCATCCTTCTCTACCATTATCCCACTTGAATAAAGTATTAATAAATCCTCTGTCAGACACATCCATTCTGCTCTCCCTCCATTACTTATTGCTTACTATAGATAGTGTCCTTTTTTCTTAAACTTAATCAAATTATTTCATGCTACCTAAAAACCTTCCCAAGATATCTACTGCTCTTAGGATAAGGAAAAAGTTCTTTTTTTAAAAAAAAAAACACTATTTTTTTTTTAAAGGAGAACTCTTTTTGTTTGTTTGTTTGTTTGTGTATTTATTTATACAAGCACTGGGTACAGTCAGAAGCGCAGGAGGGTGAGAGAATTCACTAGAGCCAGAGCAGTGAGCAGAACAGGCAGGACCGAAGTACACTGCTGAGGGGAGCAGCAGGCGGCAGGAGAGGTCTGCGCGCCATGTGGGACCCTCCTCCGGTGGCCGGGGAGCAGCCGGGGATCGAACTGGCGCTGCAGAGGCTGCGGGCGGCTTTGCAACCCAGCGCTCAACCGCTGCACCACTGGGGAGGCCCCAAGAAAAAGTTCTTAACATGGCCTCACAATCATTTGCTACATGACTCTCTCTGCCCTCTGGCCTCATCTCAGACTCTTCTCTGACTAGTTAAGGTTACAATGGCTTTCCATGCAGCCCTTTGCCTTGGCCAGATGTCCTTCCACCTCAGGGCCTTTGCACATGCAACCCCAGCTGACTTTTCTCTGATTTCAGTCCCAGTGTCATCTCAGGCAGTACTCTCCAATCTTTTCTACTGCATTATGTCCCCATGTCATCGGAAACCCCAGCAATGAGATGCTCTCTTCATGATACTTTGGCACTGGTGCATGGTGCTTCGGTATATTTCTTTGATTCATATTTTTCTCTCCTGCTTAACTGTATGGTCCATGAGAGTGAGGATTACTATCTGCAGCTGTTCATGTTACAGTTTCTTAGACACAGTAGGGATTCAGTAAATTCAAGTTGAAAGATAATGCTGGATTTTCTGAAACAGCAATTTATTACTTGAAAATCATTATTATACTTATTTTTTGTATTGAAAATTTTTAAAATGTATCACATGTCTCCTTTTCTATATAAGTAGGCTATAAAAGTCATAATATGATCTTTCACTGATTGTTCTCTTAGAAAAACCAGTTATTACACTCTGAACAAAAAAAAAATGACCTAAAAAATATTGAGATAGGATCATTGTCTAAATAGTAACACCCCCTGATTGCTTTATTTTTTCTCCCATTTTTCCCTTTAGATCTCTCTCTAATTTACAATATCTATTTGCATGAGAATGGAAAATCAAATTTTGATTAGTTAGAAGTATGTGCAAAATAAGAATATATTAGTTACATAGGCCCCCCAAGAAGTAACCATGAGCTTTTGTGCGTGGCTCATGTAACATTCATTCTATCTGCTTAGAGCTTTAGTTCTCAGTGACATTGTGAATGGTTGGGTTTGCTAGATAAAGAAAACTCCCATTGGGTCTTCCCCCGTGGCCCAGTGGTTGAGCTCTGGGTTGTGAAGTTGTCCGTAGCCTCTGCAGCGCCAGTTCGATCCCCAGCCACCAGTGAAGGTCCCACATGGTGCGCAGACCTTTCCTGCCATGCCCACTGCTCCCCTCAGCTGTGTATTTTGTCAGTCTGCCTGTTCTGTTCCCCATTCTGGCTCTAGTAAATTCTCTCACCCTCTCACGCTTCTGACTGTACCCAGTGCTTGTATAAATAAATAAATAAATCTTAAAAAAAAAGTTTTTTTAAAAAAAGAAAACTACCATATAAACAAAGACCAAAAGGAAAAACAATCTTAAGAGAATCAAAGAACCCTATAATGATGCAGTTTTAAATGTTTCAGCTTACAGTTGTTCTTTAGCACCAAATCACCAAAATTATGCAAAACAAAAAATGTTAATCCTTACATTTTTGTTTCTCTTTTTTCCTAATACAAAAACATAATAGGAGCTCAAAGAAAAAAATTGCATTCCAAAATAATGAAAGAAATGACATAGGAAAACAGAAAGGGGGAACTGAAAGTGGGAAAGTCCTGTCAAATAGAAAGAACAGGGGACCTACCCATATAAATAGCCCACAGCCATGGGGAAAAGACACTCACTCTGGAAGCCTTTGTTGTGCCACCTCAGGTGTAGCAGAAGGCACTGTTCTTCTTATTGTCACCATGGCCAACAGGTGCATCCTGGTTGTTCTCCTGGTGTGCTTTTGCACCACAGCTCTTTCCAAAGGCTACAACTTGCTTCGATTCCAACAAAGAAGCAGGAATTTGGCAAATCAGAGGATCCTGGGCCAGTTGAATGCATCCAGCACCGATTGCCTCCAGCAAAGGATGAACAGCACCCTCCCTAAGGAGGTGATGAATCCACCGCGGCTCCAGAAGGAAGATGCTGTATTTGTCACCTATGAGATGCTTCAGCAGATCTTTGGGATCTTCGGCAGAAATCACACCAGTACTGGCTGGAATGAGATCATCATTGAGAAACTCCTTATGAACATTTATGGGCAGATGATGCAGCTGGAGCCCATCCTGGATGAAATAGCGGAGGAGGACAAGTTCACCTGGGCAAATAAGACCATCCTGAAACTGAAGAAATACTACTTCAGTCTCGTGTGTTACCTGCAGGACAATGAGTGCAGCAGCTGTGCCTGGGTGATCGTCAAAAGAGAAATCTTCAGGAACATTTTCTTCCTTAATAGACTTACAGATTACCTTCCAAACTGAAGATTGCCCAGCCTGATGCTCAGGGAATAGACAATGCTGCTGATGATTTTGGACTTTCTTCAACTAGCAGGGGTTCCTAAAGTGACTGTTGTGAATGGATTGCATTGGAAAGGAAGGCTAAAAACTTTACATTTTTTTAAATTTATTTTTGTATTACATTATTTATTTATATATTTTTACCTTCCAGGTAAATGAAAGAATAAATTATTTATGAAACAAAGCTCGACCTGGCAGTTTTAATTTCAACTTGATTTATGTACCACCCATGTTAAAAACTGCAGAGTACCTATTAGATATTCTTTATTAAATGTGCTTGAAAAGTTGTCGTCTTTCTGGTCCTTCCTTCTAAGGAATTTAAAATCCAAGGACCCATGTGATCGCTGCAAGGGTAGAGCTGAGAAGGGGATCTGAGGCTTATAGGGGAATAAATGTGACCTGAGTAGAATTAAAATGGAAGAAGATGTAGGCAGGTGGCTGTGGAGCTAGAACCAGGGGTTCCCACTTGTGCTGCTGTGTCCCCAGCTCTGACTCTAAAGTTAGAATTGCACTGACTTCAAGGTAGCCAGGGGAATCTTTGCTCTTGTCTTCATCCTAAACTCCTCACTGTTATGTGCAGAATACTAAGCTTCCCACTCCACTCACTCAGGATTTCTAAATATTTATGTGTGCCCCAGGCCTGAGAGTGAGAAGTCCCAGGCCCTTGTGTAGCAGCCCCTGTCTTGTACATCCCAGCTGGGATGCCAGGGTAGCTGGGGTCTCTGTCTGCTTCCAGGACATAGACACCAGAGGGAGAAAGAGCTCTGCTTTAACCCCTGCCAGCTTATTAGTTTTTCTCCCCATTTTCCCAGAAAACTAAAACTGTTTCTGGTTTCTTCATATAGAAGTGTTGGACTATCCTATTGGCTTTTCCTGCTTCTCTGCCTCTCTAAAACCATAGACTCTTGAAAGTCAAATATAAGACAGGGACAGCAGATTTAAGTTCAGTTTCAGGTCTAGTTCAGTTTTCCTGTATAACTTGGAAGCATGAGTGAAAGGCAGATTCAGATCGGGGAGAGAGGGCACCAAATTTTCCAGGGTTTATACAGGAAGAATACAATTTCCTAGGTGTTCTTTGGGCATGGGCCAGCAGCACCGGGTTTGCCTTTGTACTGAGCCCTTTGGGAAACCGGATTGTGACCATTGCTTTCCTGAGCAGCTGCCTCTCAGGCACTGTGCTGGGCTCTTCCTTCCTTCCTCCTCGCAAGCACTCCTCAGGTAGATCCACCGCCTTTTTACTATTTACTTCCAGGAACTCTCTAATAGATTAATAACTGCCCCAAGGTCACATAGCCAGTGAGTGGAGGTTAAAAAAGAGGAAGTGGAAAGGGAAGAATCATTGAAGACTTTCTCTCTAGACCTTTTCTCCTGCACAGTTCAGAAGTCTGGGTTGTCTCTAGGAGATTCACTTCCAAGAGAAGAAATGTGTCAGTCCAGTTTCAGAGAAGACATGGCTGCTGTGTATCGAGCACGGGGCTCCCTCTTCTGACTCAAGCAGGTAACACACCAGCTCTCCCACCTAGAAGGGCCATCCTGGGGGCTGGTTCCAAGCCAGTCAAGGATTTCCATCAAGACCTAAGGAGCTCTCAAAACTCAGTAACAATGAAAGAACCCAATAAAATACGGACAAAAGACTTGAACATTAACTTCACCAAAGAAGATACCCAGATGGCTAATAGGACAGCAAAAGATGATCATCATCATTCACCATGAAGGAAATAGATCAAAACTTGAATGAGATAGCACTGCATGTTGCTTAGAATGTCTAAAATTAGAAAGACTGACCACACCGAGCCTTGGCAAACATGTGGAGCAACTTGAACTCTCCTGCACTGCTGGTGGAAATAATACATGGTCCAAGCACTTTGGAAAACCACTTTTCAATTCTTAAGACAGGTAAACATACACCTGCCATATGAGCCAGTCATTTCACCCAGTTATTTTCCCAAGAGAGAGAAAGCGCATGGGCAAACTTGTATATGGAGGTTGGTAGGACTTGGTAGGAGAATATTTGCTGGTAGTACTTTCAAACTGGAAAGACTCTAATGTCCATTAAAGTAACTACAATAGGGCCTCCCTGGTGGTGCAAGGGGTTAAGTCTCAGCACTATCATGCTATCCCCATCACTGTGGCATCAGTTTGATACCTGGCCAGGGAGCTAACCCACATGGCATATATGTTTAAATTATATCTCTGGGGCCTCCCTGGTGGCGCAAGGGGTAAAGACACAACCTATGAAGGTATCTGCAGCCACTGCAGCACGAGTTTGATACACAGCCAGCCAGGGAGCTACCCACATGGTGCAGCAGACATCTCCTGACTTGTCCGTTGCTCCCCTCAACAGTGTATTTCAATCACTCCGCCTGTTCTGTTCTCCACTCTGTCTCCAGTGAATCCTTTTCACCCCCACCTCCACACCTCTGGCCTGTACCACAGTTCTTGTATGCATAAATAAATAAATCTTAAAAAAAAAACAAAACAAAAAATAAGCACGTTTCCATAATTCAAATATTTGCAATAATAGCATAATGCAACACAACACTAATAGCTCCATTTTTAAAGGACATGTGTTCTGCAAGGGATCCTTCATGGTTATAAACATAAACCATCGTATTTAATCTTTCTGAGAACACTTAGAGGAAAGTATTTCTATCTCATTTCAGTAAGGATAAGTAATTTGCCCACGTCCATAGCTGGTGAACAGTAGAGTCATGTTTGCAACCCGAGAACTTGTTCTGAACTACCCGTAATTATCTACTACCTCCTTGTGTGTTATTTTTATCCAACTACCTACCACTTTTATTGAGATGTAGGGAACAAGAAGTTGTCTGCAGCCCAGGGGCTCTTGCTGGCTTTGCTCCAAGTGCCCCTGAGGCTCTTCTGTTGAAGGAGCTGCTCTCCTCATGCAAGCAGTTCCTTTCCCTTTCACCACCATCCAGAAAAGGACACTCTAACTTTCTCTGGAGAGATTAGGAGGAAATTCCCATCCGCTCCCTTGCCAGATTCTACAGTGAATATTTTCTCTTGAATTTTTTGGAGGTAACTTTCTGCGTCATGAGTCATAGTTTTCCCTGGCAAGGCTGCATTTCCTTCTCTCAGCCACTGTGCATTGTACCCGTTCAAGAGAGACGGTACTGTGTGCAGTTTCCTTTTCAAGTCTGGCACCAGCTGCTTTCGTTATCTCGTAAGAATGTTCAAGTACAAAAATGTCCTGCAGTGTTTAATGGAAACACCCAAAACATTTTTCTTTTTCCTTTTACTTTTTAATTTCTTCGTCTTTCCCTTTTTATGACAATCCAGAAGAAAAACAAATAGTTTTCAAACAGAAAATGGCTTACTAATTCACAAAGGCATGAATAGGAAGTGTATGAATTTTAAAGTCCAAATATATGTCTTAAAAGTTCACTGTGCTGTAGTGGAAGAAGACTAGGACATGGAGTTACACAGTTCTGAGAGTTCTGCCATTGTCTAACTGTTTGATCTTGGGCAAGTTATGTAAACTGAAGATAAGCAGACTTTGAGCTCTTCAAAATTGCTGTATGGAAAAAAATAATAACAGGGAGCATGATTTGGTCCAGCACAAGGCCTTATCTATCTAGAAAAGATGCCCATTATTTATCTTAATTAAAAGTAAAAAAAAAAATGTTGAAATTTCTTACAAAAAATTAGGTGGATACTCTTACCAAAAATCTCATACAAAATACCCCAAGTCACTAATAAATAGATAATTGATGACAGTATTGGCCTCACAACAGGATCTAAATGAACCTTATTTTTACCATAGTCATATTTTAGATACTGGGAAGAAAATTAGCATTTATGATTACGAAGTATAAAGAAGATATTTCTAAAAGTCAAATTTCAACATTTTCATGACTAACCTCTAGCAAATCACTTAATAAGCAAGATCAATTTTTTCGCAAATCTTTGAAATGTCAAGGAAAAAAGATGCATAAAACATTCTGGTGAAGAAAGATGAATCAGTGTTTGCTGGTCTCCCATGGTGCGTGTGAGCTGTGCTCAGCTCTTCACATATTATATTGGGCATCTGTTGTTGCTGGCAGGGCATCTAGGGCCACCACTGACAGCCATGGGTTGGCCATGCTCAGCTCTGAGAATGGGCAGCTCACCAGGTGTGGGCTGCTGTGCACAATGGCATCTCCATGGCACAGTGAGTCCTCGGGAGGAGCACTGTGACTCAAGCAGAGGCCATGAGTTCAACAAGCAGAACTGGAATGCTAAGGGGAGGGGAGTGTCTGTCTGTGGCAGCAGGTACCCTGTCCAGTGCAAGCCTGGAGCCAGAGCTGCGGTGTCCAGCTACCCGGCTTGCACCCTGCACACCATTGGGTGCTGCCCCTTCCCTAGTGAGCTTGACATGCCCCATGCTAGAGGTGTCACTTACAAATAAAGTCAACTTGAAGCACAGCAAGATAAAAAGACAGATGAAGACACATTTCTGAAAATATTGTTTGTGACCTCCTAAAATGTTTGTTATCTGAGCCTTGATATAGGGTGAGTGGGACTGGAAAACAAACTAGAAATCCACCCACTTGCACAACGACCTCTCCCTCTTTTGAAGAAACCCATGCCTTCATTCCTCACCCTGCATTTTGTGAAGACCCTTCCAGAGAGGTCTGCCCATTCTTGAAGATGAGAGCTACTGGTCTGACTTTCTTTCCTTGTTTTTCTAGTATGAGCTGTTTATTCACTAATCAAGGCCAGCAATTTATAAAGTTGCCCACACCTCACCACTGAATACTTTAAATTGGGGTTCTGCTAAATCTCTATAGAAACATAAAAATAGGGGCCTCCCTGGTGGCACAGGGGTTAAGACACAACCTATGAAGCTATCTGCAGCCACTGCAGCAAGAGTTCGATCCCCAGCCAAGGGAGGTGACACACATGGCACAGCAGAACTCTCCTGTCTCCCCCGCTGCTCCCCTCAGCAGTGTATTTCAGTGGAT